TTGATCATGTGATGGAGTTTTATCTATTGGTTTGATTGAAGCTTAAGGGAAAAAAGGGAGTAAAGCTAGGATCTTTGGGAGGACCATGGCCGTTGCGTGGAGTGTGACAATTTGGGTGGGAAAATTTATATTTATGGCATTGGGTGGTTGGGTGGTTTCTTGCTTGACTGTTGCTGATGAAATTGCAGATTCTTTAAGAACAGGAGATATTGGTCCTTTCCATGTTGGTTAAATATTCAAGAACCTTTTGTTTTCATGTAGAACTATGTGTAAAATAGAAGTGATTCCCAAATCTATGTAGGAAAAGGATGATTAGTTTTGGTATAAAGTAGGGAATCACTTTTTTCTGTTCTGTTTTTTATCTGATTTGCCAGTTAGCAGCTGGTTTGTTGTCTTTTTTTCTGTTTGTATTTCGCTTTGGTTAAGTTTCTTGATGATGTGAATAGTAAACGGGCAGTGCTTGAATCGACTTTGATGTGTGATAATGTTAAGAGTTTAATTGTTTTGTTCTAGCAACAGATAGTTTAGCACCTGTACCAACTGATTAATGTTCAAACTGGTAATTTTTCAACAATGGAATTGCAGCAGATTGGATGCTAAGTGAAATTTATTTTCTCTGTTTATGCATATTTTTTCACATTTTCCTTAGAATGGATTCCATCCCTAAATCTTGAAAGTGAGAACTGAGGTGAATGATATCCAGTCTTAAAATTCAGATCCTTTAGGGTTGAGGCAGAGTGGAAAATACTCTTAAACATTAGTTTAGTCAGTTAGAAACTGTTACGACATTGGTGAGTAACAAAACAGAACAACTTGGCATGTGAGTAGAATTTTGAGTAGTTTTTTTTTTCTTATTTCTCGGAATCACTTGAGCTTGATAACATACACAGATACATTGATGGGCAAGCTTTTGAATTTAGGCGAATGAATGAAAAAAAAAAGGAGGGATCTTTTATTCTTTCACTATTCTGCATATTTTTTGCATTCATTAGTACAGCTTTATTTCAAATACGTTGCATTATCACGCCTAAATACTCAATAATTTTAGGACCCGACTTTCCCAATCCTCAAATAAACAGGAAAAGTGACAACCTTCTCGATTTTCCCATCTTCATTCCACGCCCTCGTGAAACCTTCAATCACATCATCACTCAACAGCTCCACACCCTTCTCTTTAGCCGTTTGGTAAGGTGACCAAGACTTCAAGTAAGTCAAATACCTCTCCAAATCCATAACCTCCTCCGAATTAAACCTGAAGGGCCCATTATTTTCGAGCCCATCAACCGGCCCAAATGGAAATTCAATGGTCTCGTACTTCTCAGCAACGAACCTACGAGCTGGAGCCCAGTGTGGAGTCACGCAATTGGTGCAGTATCTCTTTAACACTGAGTCAACTCCAGGGTTGACTTCCGGACTCGTGTAGCACCATGCAGCTATGACGCCATCGGGCTTTTTGAGGGCCCATTTAACCTGCTGGTAGAATTTCGGGAGATCGAACCAGTGCATGGCTTGGGCTATGGTGACTAAATCGACACTTGATTTTGGGCCGATTTTTTCTTGGAGTTCGGATATGGTCATGCATGGAGAGGTATGTTTGTAAGTTATGTTTGGTAGTTTGGCTGCGTACTCAAGTTGTTTTGGGCTTGTGTCTGTTGCTATAACGTTCTTGTAGATATTAGCTAGCTGATAGAAAAAAAAGAAATGCGTGTTGAATTAAATTTCAGAAATTGATTGGAGAATTTGATGGAGAAAAATCGGAAATGGGTTTTGGAGAGAGAGAGAGAGAGAATTACAGATCGAGCGGCTTGGCCGCTACCAGTGCCGACATCCCATGCAAGATCATGCGAAGGTGTCTTTGTTGCAATGAAATCAAAGAGTTGGTTTGGGTAAGAAGGCCTTCCCACAGAGTATTGCTCTGCTTGCTTGATAAACAAATTTGCCATTTTCAATCTCTGTCTTTGAAATGTGTGTGTGTGGTCTGAAGATGAGTTGGTAAGATCAAAGATTTTTACTATCTATCTATAGCAGTTTATGGGCCCTTCAATTTATTATATATCCCACTGCTGTTTGGATTTTATGATGATTAGATGTTCTTGGGGAGCAAGGATTGAAAGGCAATAGCTGGGGAAGGTTTAATTTTATTGGATATGCTGTTTTTTGTAGATTTTGTTATCTGATAGTGGTCCTATAGTTTTGACAGGGTTTTACTGGATGGGAGTGTTCAAATTATTCTGGTTTATTTTATTTTATTTTTGTTTGTCCCTTGTTCTTTTTTGGGCCATCTCTCTTTTCCCTTCACACGAACTGGATCGTGTATTCGTATGAAAGATACTTCCAGCCACCACATGATATTTTTCTCTTTTTTTTTTCTTTTTCTTTTTAATTTTTCTTTTCCTTTTTAGATGTGAAGAACCGAGAAGTATATGTGTTGTGAAAGATATGTGGTACTAGAGAAAATAACGGCATGATTTATGTCTGAACAAGAAAAGAAACTACCATTGAAACAAAAATTTCATTTTCCAGTGAACCATGAAAGAGTTTTTCTTCAGTACATGATAATTTGATTTAATCAGCTTATATATTTTTACTAGTTAATAAAGGGATTTAATCGCGTGTGCTTCTTTTGATACAGCTCTCTGGTAAAGGATGGAATTGCAAATTTGCAACGCAGATTGGATGTGAGTGAAATTTCTTTTCCTTGTTTATGCATATTTTCACATTTCCTTCAAAGATCAAGAGTCCTTTTTTCGGAACTTACCTACNGATCCTTCATGGCTGAGGCAAAGGATTATTTTAGAGTGCTAAATATTCTTAAAACATTGGTTTAGTCAGTTAGAAGTAGTGATTACATTGGAGAGTACAAAACAGAGCAACTTGATATGTGATTGAAATTTGTGTGACTATGAAATACCTTAAGCACTCGATAACAACACACAGATACATTGATCAAGCTTATGAATTTAGGCAAACGAGTTAAAAAAAAAATAAGAGGGATCTTTTATTCTTTCACTACTCTGCACATTTTTCGCATTCATTAGTACAGCTTTATTTCAAATACATTGCATTATCACGCCTAAATACTCGATAATTTTACGACCCGATTTTCCCAATCCTCAAATACACAGGAAAGTTGACAATTTTCTCAATTTTCCCATCTTCATTCCATCCCCTCGTGAAGTCGTCGACCACATCATCGGTCAAAAGCTCCACACCTTTCTCTGTAGCCGTTTGGTAAGCTGACCATGACTTCAAGTAAGTCAAATACCCTTCCAAATCCATCACCTTCTCCGAATCAAACCTGAAGGGCCCATTATTGTCAAGCCCATCTACCGGTCCAAATGGAAAATCAATGGTCTCATACTTCTCCTCGATGAACCTACGGGCCGGATCCCAATACGGGCCCACACCATCCTTGTAGTATCTCTGTAACACCGAGTCAACTCCAGGGTTGACTTCCGGAGTCGTGTAGCACCATGCGGCTATGACGCCATCGGGCTTTTTGAGGGCCCATTTAACCTGCTCGTAGAATTTCGGGAGGTCGAACCAATGCATGGCTTGGGCTATGGTGACTAAATCGACACTTGATTCTTGGCCGATTTTTTCTTGGAGTTCGGATATGGTCATGCTTGGAGAGGTATGTTTGTAAGTTACGTTCGGAAATTTGTCTGCGAATTCGAGTTGTTTTGGGCTTGTGTCTGTTGCTATAACGTTGTTGTAGATATTAGCTAGCTGATCACAAGAAAAAAAGAGAGACAAGAAATTAAAGGAGGCATTTGCTGAATTAACTTCAGGAAATACAAAGAAGAATCGATCAACGATGAAAACGAGAGAGAGAGAGAGAGAGAGAGAGAGAGACTTACAGATCGGGCGGCTTGGCCGCTGCCAGTGCCGACATCCCAAGCAAGATCATGTGAAGGTGTTTTTGATGCGATGAAATCGAAGAGTTTTTTGGGGTAAGAAGGCCTGCCCACAGAGTACTGCTCTGCCTGCTTGATAAACAAATCTGCCATTTTCAAATTCCAATCTCTGATTTTCAAGTGTAAGTGTGAGTGTTTGGTTTGTAGAGTGGGTGGTGAGATCCAACAACTTTGTAATCTATTTATAGCAGTTTATTTATGGCCACTTTTCACCAAGTCTTGAAAGGAAACAACTAGGGAAGGTTCAAATTGATTGGATTTATAGCTGATGTTTGTTTGTAAATTTTGTTTTTATGTATCTGATAGTGGTTTCATGCTTTTGACTTGGCTTTCATAAGATGGGAGTGATCAAATTATTCTTGGCTTGCTATTTTTTTTTTATATATTATTAATGGTCCTATTTGGTTTTTTGGGCCCACTATTTTTCCTTCACATGATATAAAATAATTTATATCCAAACACAATATCATTTTATCTAAAACATTGAAAATGAGAGATTAAAAAACCAACCTACATTTGTTTTAAATAGTCTTTATATATGATCTTAGAAAAGAAATGTATACTTAAGAGTTGTAAGAGCATCTCCAATGTAGCTTTTGACATTATAAAAATTCATCCATATCATCAACTTTTAAAAGTGTGTTACTAATTTGTTCTCCAATGCATCTTGTCATGAGCTCTTTCATGATGAGGTGGATAGCATTTAATGTTGACAATGTTGAGCACACTTTCTAATACCTAACACCATGTTAAACATGATGACTAATCAATTCACTTTATATTTGATTTAATTTTTTATTGTTCTTGTATTAATGATTATTTTAATTGGTCCACCTATACAAATAACTTCTTACCAAATTGATGCATTGGAGATACTAGTTTGATTCAAATTTCTACTCTTTTAACATTATTCCTACATGGATTAACATTACAATCATTGATTGACATGTGTTAAAAATCATTGTCTTTCAAAGCTATAGCATTGGAGATGCTCTAACGAATTGTTCGGGAGCTTGAGTTGGCTCGTCCTAAATGCCAATATCTCAAAAAAAAAAAAAAATAGGGACCGAAAAGCCAATTAAAATGTTGTTCTTTTTTATTTTCCTTTTATTGCTTGTAGTTAACAAAGGAGGCCCAAAAGGCCCTTAACCTCTTTCCCAAACTTCAGAACTGAAATACAACGCACACTGCACGCTCTTCTTCAACAGCTGACAGTCCCATTCTTGTCCGCCGTCGCCGTGAAACTAATGCTCGCCGACGTTTGCAAAGCAGACACCCCGTGAAAAAGGGATTGTAAAAAAGGGTATTTGTGCGCTTGCGAATTGGGTTTTGCTACTTTTAATCTATATCGATATTGTTGCAATCTCAACACTTGTGATTTGGGTCTTGATCTCTTTGAGTGGAAAGTAGATATCTCGATGGACATTAGTGAAATAGTGATACATTGTGTGGAAATAATTGTACCTTGGCGATGTCATGCTGTTGTTTTTTGTTATGGTATTAGGTCAAAGATGGAACCTTTATAGATGATCGATGATTGAATGGGCTTTTCTTGATGCACATTGGTGAAATAATCATGCCTTGTGCTGAAATGATTGTATCTTGGTGATAGCATGCTGTTATTTTTTTGTAATGCTATTATTCAAAAATGAACTTTTGTGGATGATCGATGATTGAATGGACAGAAAAGTTACTTTTTCTTTTTATTTATCTTCCGTTGATAGTCATGTTTCTGTGTTTAGCTGAAAAAGAATGTCGGGGTTAGGAATAAAAACAATGAATACAAAGATTAACACCGGACTAATTTCAATATATGGCAATGTTTTCGACATTTTTGTTGTTTGGAGTGATATCTGTTTTGATTTTATTATATTCTGCATTTGTGTTTTATATGTGGTGTTTTGGGGGTTTTTTAATTTCTCTGTTTGTTTAACCTGAGGTTTATACTTTTCATTTTCATGTGTTTTTAACCTCACTGTTCTGTTCTTATTCTTAATTTCAAACCATCATGTCTATCAGTTTCAAAACATTCAAGTTTGTTTTGCTAATTTGTTTTTGTTTTGTTTTTTTTTTCTTTTATAATTGGCAGCAAACAAGAATGACTTCAATTGTGCCGATTCAAACTGACTCCTACAATCTTGGGTTTGTCGGGGCCGGAAAAATGGCTGAGAGCATTGCAAGAGGCATTGTCAAATCAGGGGTTTTACCTGCTTCCAACATTCGGACTGCACATCTTGCCACCTCTCGAAGAACTGCCTTTGAGTCATTTGGCGTCAAAGTCCTTTCTCACAACGTGGAGGTATATTCTATTATTGGACTTGCATAATATTCGAGCGTGATATTTTTTTTCTTTGGTTGTCTGATTGTTCCGAGTGTATTACGCTGGTTGCTGTTGCATATTATTGTTGATTTTATTAATTTCACATCACAATCAGGAGAAGAACGTAAATTATGAGCTGGATTATAGATATTGTAACTTTGTCATGATTGTAATTCCATTACTTTTGACGTGTCCAAAGGCAGGTTGTTCAAGAGAGTGATGTGGTTGTATTCTCAGTGAAACCTCAAGTTCGTACGTATTTTTTTGCACCTTTTCGCCATTCTTTTGCTTCTTTTCTTTTCATTACTTGCACATATTAAGAAATATATATATTTTTTTTATATATATAATCTTTCGATGCTTTCTGCAATATATATCAGTTAAGGACGTGATACTGCAGTTAAGGCCGCTGCTTTCAGAAAAACAACTCTTGGTCTCTGTTGCTGCTGGAGTCAAGCTCAAAGATTTGCAGGTTTGTTCGGTAAATTTGTTTATGCGAAAAATGAACCCAAGTAAACAAAAGGTGCAGTTAAGAACTAAGTCACATTTTTATCCTGAATTTTTCGCTCTCTCAAATGTTGCCTTTTATCTTGTTTGGTGTTTGACGTTGTTTTTCGTTTAACTGTTAAGTATTTTATTTTCATGGGCTCGATATTTTGCAGGAATGGGCTGGACACAGCCGGTTTATAAGAGTAATGCCCAACACTCCAGCTGCTGTTGGTGTGGCTGCATCCGGTATGTCAATTTCGCTTTCTTT